ATTGGGTGAACTGCCATTCTCTCTTCCCCTCTCTGGCTGGATGTACACCTGGATGACAGGTGAGAGGTGGGGCCAGAAGAGCCTGCCTCTCCAGACTCCACGAGCCCAGAGGACGTCCATTTCTCTGGCACTTGTTTGAGCTGCTGTGTGTTTCAGGGCTTGCTTGTTAGAGCAGCTACGAGTCCCCACCCCCACCCCACCCCAGCCCGGCCCTGTCTCCCCTCCCCCACCTTCCACAGCATGGGCATCACCGAAGGAACAGAAACTTCTAGAAGGCCAAGCCCCCTTAGCCCTCATGCCTTACTGATTTGGCCTCCCACCCTCTTCAGCCTTCTCTGGTCCTCCTGAGCCCAGGGCCTGGACCTCCAGCCCCCCGCAGTGCTGTGTGGTGACCCCCATTTTTTCCCTGCCCTTCCTTGGTGCCTGGCTGGCTCAGGCCATGCCCCGATTTGTCCTTTCCCACCATCACGTGACCAATCTCCACCTACCTCCAGCCTCAGTTTCTTCTTTCTGCCCATTCTTTTCACTAACCTAACTCCAAACCAAAGCAGTGAGCAGACCCCAAGTCCAAGTGCTTCTCCCTGCCCTGCTGCGCTGACCCGACCCCTCCTGGGGCTGCTCACGTAAGGCCCTGTGGTCTCGGGTTCCTCTCTCCACACAGGCCCCCTTTAGGCAGCAGGGCACCTTCATAAACATAAGCGATGGATTCATCCCTTCCCCCAGGCCCTAAGGGATCTGGAGACTCTTCTTTGCCCCACCCCAAGCTCACTGGCCTTTCTACGCCTTCAGCATACGAGCACATGCCTACCCCAGGGCCTTTGCACAGCCTCTACCTTCTGCTAGTTCTAGTCCCTTCAACTATTTGAGCTTCTTCCAATATCACCTCCACAAATAGGACTTCGCTACTGTGCTGCCGAAGGTGATGGCCCTTGGACTCCCCACCTCCCGCTACCGCCTTTCCCTTTAAGGCCTGATCACTACATGCGCTTCCACAGAGCGTGACACGGGCTGGGAACCATCTCCCAGGCAGCAGCTGGCGTGTCATCCACGCAGAACTACCGGACGAGCGAGCGAGTGGGTCTCCACGCCAACAGCAGCAGCCAGGACAGGCCTGTGACACTGGCATTCACGAGGGGAAGGCAGGGTCATGAGTTCAAGGCCAGCCTAGATTACATAGCAAGACCTTGCTTGTCTCAAAAGGCGGTAGTAGCCTGTAGTAGCTCAAGTGTAAGCAGAGAAGCTGCTGGCCAGCTCTAAGGCCTGCATGCACACCCTAGCTCCACCACAAATCTGAGTAAACAGCAAGAAAAAGAGGGAGGGGGGAGGGAGGAACACAACACATCCAGTGTCCCCTAAAAGACAAAGGAAATGAGGGACCCCCCCATGAAACAAGAACGGGCAGAATCAGAATAGGAAGAAGCAAGGTATGGTTTTCAAATGAAAATTATGATCAATTCCAAAGGGCTGTGTATTTTAAAATAGAAATTTTAGAGAAGGACTAAAGAGCAAAAGGAATCTGGGTAAAGAACAATTGTCAAGATGGCCGTGGGCAGGGCCGCGCAGAGGATGCACACTCCGGGGTTCTGAGCATGCTGGTGTCATCGGACCCATGCCTGGCTCCCGCCCGCCATCCACGGTCACCGGTCACCCATGGGTTTACCACGTGCCAACCAGCTCCAGGGCTGGGGCCAGCAAGAAACAAAACAGCCACTGTCACCTGCTGCCTTCGAGGAGGTTACATTCCAGGGGTGAGAGGCTCCTCAAAGCTCAATAAACGAGTAAATTATGACCTGTGAAGGTATAGCCAGAGGAACAAGAAGTCTAAGTTGGGGTGCCAAGAGCCGGGGGCAGTGAAAATTTAGCTAAAGCGGTAGGAAAAGCCCTCGCTGAGGAGACTTCTAGCAAAGGCGGGAAGGAAGTGGGGCTGTGGGGAATCTCTGGGAGGAACAGCAAGTGCAAAGATCCTGTGGCAGAAAGCCGCATTCACGGGATGGCCAGGAGGCCAGGGGCTGGGGAGCGGAGCGCAGCGCAGGGGGAGGCAGCCTCAAGAGGTGATGGAGGCTGCAGCCTCTGCGAGGGCTGTGCCATTTACTGGGAGTCGGAAGAGGAGGCAGTGCCAGCTTTGGAGCCCAGCAGTGGGCAGGGGCTGACTGAAGAACAGTATGGCTTGGGCTTAGGCCAGATGTGGAGTGGGTAAGAAGTACATATGTCAGCCAGATTCCAAGTGGAGGTGAAGGGTGAGGGTGGGGGGTGGGGACAGACGTCCAAGAAGCACATCTGGGAGAGTCCAGCTGTGGCCACACTATGTGGGAGGTGCTCGCAAAGGACCTAACTCAGACAGCGGGATGAGATGTGGGCCACTGCAGGCAAAGGTCGAGGCTGAGATGAGAACTGACGGACGAGGGAGAAGACACCGAGAACGGAGCCCCGGGTCCCCCTCTCTCGTCAGGGCAAACCTGTGGGGAGAAGAGGAGCCCCGAAGGAGCCTGAGGAAGCCCCCGGAGGACGCGGGAAGCCAGGGAAGAAAGTGTCTCAGGAGGAGACGATCGGAGGCTGCGGGGGCAAAAGGAGATGCAGACAGGAGATGCCACGGGTCCCAGCGACGGGTCAAGACTTGACCAGAATGGATCAGAGAAGGAACAGGAAGAGGGACTGAGGATGAGGGTCAGTTCTATGCTCAAAAGGTACTACGGTCGCCTAGCTACTCAGGAGGCTGAGGTCTGAGGATCGCGTTCAAAGCCAGCTGGGGCAGGAAAATCCACGAGATTCTTATCTCCACTAAACCATCAGAAAGCTGGAAGTGGCGCTGTGGCTCAGCTAGCCTTGAGTGAAAAAGCTCAGGGACAGCGCACAGGCCCTGAGTTCAAGCCCCTGGATCAGTGTGCATTCTCCCCCCCCCCGCCCCCCTTGTATTGTAGGTGAAAGCAGAGAAGGAACAGTAGTTGAAGAGGGAGGAAGGAGCCAAAGAAAGGAAGATGCTGGAAAATTAGAATCACACGGAAAGAAAAGAACAAATGCCAAAGATGGGAGGGTGGATGTTCCCAAGTGGGGGTGCCGAGAAGGGGAGGCTGCTGACAAAAACTAGACGGGTGGCTTCTATTTTCTTAGGGGAATAAGCAAGGCCTTCTGTTGAGGGTGAGGGTGGAGGAGGAGGTGGGAGGTTTGGAGAGAAGGGACAGCACAAAATAGCTCCTCGTTTGTGCGTTCAAATGTAAGGAGAACAGAAATGAAAATGTATAACTGCTACACTGAGACAGAGAAAAATAGAACAAGAGAAGTCAGGGGGAAATCGGAACAAGAAAAGCATGATTTAAAAAGAAAATACAGTGCAGAAGAAAACATACCGTAAATCCTACGTACCGGCCATCACAATAAATGTGAACAGGTTAAAATCGCTAATTAAAAGTCAGAGGCTTTCTTTGGGATTTTACCAAAGGAGATGTTAAGGCTGTTTGATAGCTCACGCTGGTCAAGCTGAATGTACCTGGATATAATGACTTCAAAACATAAGCAGTGGGGAATAATGGCTTGTGGATTTAGGAGCAATATTTATTTTTGTTAAAACTTTCAATGTTTTCTGAATTTCTTGGGAGAGGTGTACATGAATATCTCAATTAGGGGGAAAAACAACTTGTTTTTAAAAAATAACTCATACCTCCATAGGTATGAAGACTCTTTCCAGAGTCTTCATTTGCTTTTCAAATCAGTACTAAAATCTGAAGAGACGTGAAAAAAGGGCCCATGACCGGAGAGAGGAAGATAGGGTGAAGGCGGGGTGCCACCAGGCCCCATAGGGAAGGAACAAGCCTAGGAGAGCCCCCTGGAGGAGCACCTGTGCCTCCTGGGGAGCCCAGAGAGGACCCTCGGGACAGGTACAGCAAGGGCAAGGGGGCAGCCAGCTCACCTGAGGGTCACAGTTCAAAGCCAGCCAGGGCAGGGAAGTCCAGGAGACTCTTACCTCCCACTAACCACCAAAAAGCCAGAAGTGGAGCTATGTCTTAAGCGGGAGAGACAGCCCTGAGCACTCAGACTCAGAGTTCAAGCCTACTCGCACATACACACAGACACAGACACACACACAGACACACACACACACACACACACGTAGGTGATAGAAGAGTGATTCCCAGAAACATAGAATACCTGGCCCAGCTGCACATACACACACGTGGACACACCATGGACACGTGAGCACGCACACGTGCAAGCCCCTGTGTGCACATGGATGCACAGATTTGCAGCTTTCTGTTCTCTGACCCTCTAGCCTGGACAATTCACTACTGCAGAGGTCTTGAGGCTGCACCTCCCTGAACACAGAGACCCCCGGGCACTGCGGTCTGTCCCCGCTGGGAAGCAAGAGTCTCCAGCTGTCACTGACCTGGAGTCCATCCACGCCCCCCACCCCACCCGCCCCACTGTGAGGGCTCAGAGTGTGGGGTCAGCCCAGAGGGGCAGGAGCAGGGGAGGGCAGCCCAGGGCGAGGCTGGGGGGGGGGACCCGCTGGGACTACCCATCCAAAAAATTATGAGTGGCGACCATGATGCTGGTTGCAAAATGGAGCACGTGCAGTGGGGACGGGAGACCTGGGCAGAGCACGGCTTGGTTCATTCAGCCTGAGGAATGTGGTGACATCACAGAGGTGTCCCCCGTGGGCTGGAAGGCCCAGCACGCATGCGCTCCGCCAGGTCTGCCATCCAAGGCTCCCGCCAGCCTCCAGACAGGAGACGTTCCCCGAGCCTCTCCCTGTGGGTCCATCTACCGCCACCGCTGCCACGAGAGGCAGGCGGGGCGCCGGGAGGAGCAAGGCAGCGGACTCAGCACCCCCTGTGCCAGCGCCACAGCCTGGGGCCTCTCCAAGAGCCATCTGAGGCCAGGCTGGGGCGGGCAGGAGACGCGGCTGTATTTCTTCTGCTTGGGTGCCTCCCCTGCCCTCCAAACCAGGTTAAAGTTTGTCAGGGGAAATAATTACCCACATCTGCGAAGTGAGCCCTGGTCACACTTTAATTCCAATCTGGGTGACTTCAGTCTCCTGGGCTCCCCTCCCAAATTTGACTTTTCCTCATCTCGGGGGGGAAGCCGACAGCCTCCTGGCCTCAGCCCAGGACGGGATCTCAGGGAGAGCCACCCCGGGGGGCAGCCGGCGGGCAGATGCCAGTGCAGCCCCTGCCGGGCCCCTGGGCAGGCGGGCGTGGGCGCCGCTGTGAGGGAAGCGGCTGGCTCGCTCTGTCCCGGGGTCCCGGCCCGGCCTCGTGACGGGGGTGCTCACCGCGCCTCCACGTACGCACCATGGCTTTTCCTGACCTCCTGGACAAAATAGGGGACCTGGGCAAGTTCCAGCTGCTACAGAATGTGGCCCTACTGGTGCCCATCATTTTGCTCACCAGTCAGAACATGATAGAGAACTTCTCGGCCGCTGTGCCCAGACACCGCTGCTGGGTGCCCCTCCTGGACAACGGCACTGCCCAGGCCAGCCTCCCCGGGGCCCCGGGCCCCGAGGCCCTCCTGGCCGTGTCCATCCCCCTTGGCCCTGACCAGCAGCCCCATCGCTGCCGCCGCTTCCAACACCCCCAGTGGCAGCTCCTGGACCCCAACAACACGGCCACCAACGGGAGCGAGGCTGCCACGGAGCCATGCGTGGACGGCTGGGTCTACGATTACAGCACCTTCACCTCCACCATCGTGACCACGGTAAGACCCCCATGTCGACTACATGTCCTGTCACTGCCACGGCCACTGCCGCCACCACCAGGGAGGTCAAAGGCATGCTTTCACTTGGCCTGATTCAAAATGATTTGGTTCCAGTGGTTGAAGCCTGTAATCCTAGGTTCGCTAGAGGTTAAGATCAAGGTTTGAAGCCAGTCAGGGATGAGACTCTTAATGCCCAAAAAGTAGAGCTGTAGTTCAAGGGCTGGCACACTAGTTAGGAGGAAAAAAAAGCTCAGGGTCCCGAGTTCAAGTCTCAGGACCAGCGCACACACATGCGCACACATCATCCAATCTGGAGAGGGAGTCACCTCCCTAGACCTCCCTCTCCCCGTCTCTCTTCCTCTCTTTCTCCCCCTTCCTCCTCTTTTCTCCCCCTTTTTCTCTGTCTGTCTCTCCCTCTAGAGGGCACTCGGTCCTTCATCAGTCACTTGCTCCTACAAACACTGGGTGGTGTAAGCACCTTTGCACATTCACATCCGCACACCCAGTCTGACTGTGACTCCAGGCAACTCAATAGTGGGGGTGAGCTGGGCGCTGGAGGCTCAGCCTGTAATCCCAGCTACTCAGCTGAGATCTGAGGATCATGGTTCAAAGCCAGCCTGGGCAGGAAAGTCCATGAGACTCTTATCTCCAATGAACCACTAGAAAACCGGAAGTGGCGCTGTGGTTCAAAGTGGTAGAGCGCTCACCTTGAGCTGAAGAGCTCAGGGACAGTGCCCAGGCCAAGTTCAAGCCCCACAACTGACCAAAAACAACAACAAAAAAAGTAGGGGTGTGTGTTCACCTGCAGATTCTCTGAGGCTGGGCACACAGAGCCCAGGATGCCCAGGTACCCCACATGGGCACCAGGCAGAACCAGGCCAGTGGGGAGGGGCAGCTGTCCCAGCAAGTGAGCAAGAAGCCTCCTAAAGAAAGAGAAAACTAGCCAGGGGGGGGGGCCCTCACATCTGTAATCCTAACTACTCAAGAGGCTGAGATCTGGGGATCATCTTTCAAATCCAGCCTGGGCAAGAGAGTCCATGAGACCCTTATCTGTAATTAAGCATCAGAAAAACTGGAAGTGAAGCTGGGACTCCAGTGGTAGAGTGCTAGCCTTGAGCATCAAAGCTCAGGGACAGCACCCAGGCCCTGAGTTCAAGTTCCAGGACAGGCAAAAAAGAAAGAAAGAAAGAAAGAGAAAAAGAAAAGAGGGAAGTGGCTTCAGGGCACGTGGAGAGGTAGAAGCTAAGGTGGCCAAGCAAGGTGGGGGAAGGGCATAAGCACAGACATGACCTATGACCCACTGGGTAAGAAGGAGTCCTGGAAGCGCTGAAGCAAAGGGTGATGGGATGCAGAAGAGACCACGCTGTGCCTGTGGGTGCCCTTGCTCCCCAGGCCATCTCCTGAACTGCTCTGGCCTCTCTCACGTGGACTCTATGACCTCCTATGCTGAGCTCTCCCCTCCTCTCCCTCCAGTGGGACCTGGTGTGCGACTCTCAGGCCATGAAGCCCATGGCCCAGTCCATCTTCTTGTCTGGGATTATGGCTGGAGCTGCAGTGTACGGCCACATCTCCGATCGGTAAGACCCCCATCTGCCTGAGCAGGCCTCTTCTTCTGGGGTATCAGAGAGCCTGCATCTTTTCCCAGCCACAGTTCCTCAGTTTTCTCCGCGCTTGCTGAGGGTCCTTCTTTCTCATCAAGATGGTCATTCGTAAAACCTGCTCAAAGCCAGGCACAGGTGGCTCACGTCTGTAATTCTAGCCACTCAGGAGGCTGAGAGCTAAGGATCTGCGTTCAAAGCCAGTCCTGGCAGTGAAGTCTGTGAGATTAATCATCAAGAAGCAGGAAGTGGGGCGCTGGCTCAACAGATAGAGCTCTAGCCTCGACCAAAATGAAGCTCAGGGTCAGCACCGAGGCCCTGAGTTCAAGCTCCATGACCAACACAAACAAATAATAGAAGCAGCAACAAAAACCTACCCTGCTCTACCACATGCTCAGTGGCCCCAGTGACACGGCGTGTCCCTGTGTGCCACAGGTTCGGGCGCAGGAAGGTGCTGACGTGGAACTACCTTCAGGTGGCCGTGTCAGGCACGGTGGCCGCCTTTGTCCCCACCTTCTCCCTCTACTGCCTCTTCCGGTTCCTGGTGGCCTTCGGCCTGGCAGGCATTATGATGAACACAACCACTCTGCGTAGGTCCCGGCCCTGGGTCGTGGCGGGGAGGCAGTGCGCAGGCGCCAGGTCGTGGCGGGGAGGCAGTGCGCAGGCGCCAGGCCATGGCGGGGAGGCTGTGCGCAGGTGCCAGGCCACGGCGGGGAGGCTGTGCGCAGGCGCGGTGCTGGCCTTGCGGCTCACTCTTGTCTTCCTAGTGATGGAGTGGACGTCCGCGAAATCCCGAACTGTCACGATGATCTTCAACTTTATGGGCTTCAGCTTTGGCCAGATGCTGACGGGCGCCGTGGCTTACGGGGTGCGTAGGTGGCCACTGCTACAGCTGGCGATCTCTGTCCCCTTCTTCATCTGCTTCCTCTACTCATGGTGAGTGTGCCGCACCCCATTTCCTGCCCACTCTTAGGGTCTCTGGTGTGAGAGATTCTCATTTCCCCTGCTTCAGAGGGCAGGAGCCAGGGGGCGGGGCCACGGCAGGAGGGTGGGGCCAGGGCTGGAGGGTGGAGCCTTATAGGAGGGCGGAGCCAGGGCCGGAGGGTGGAGCCAGGGTAAGGTGGGTGGAGCGAGGTAAAGGAGGGCGGGGCCAAATAGGAGGGAGGAGCCAAGGCAGGAAGGCGGGGCAAACGTGGGAGGGCGTGGCCAGGGCAGGAGAGCAGGGACTGGACAGAGGGGCAGAGCCGCAGGAGTTAGACGTTCTGGCGTAGTGTTCAGGTACCAAAAATGCAGCCTGGGTCTCCAGGAGCCTGCTCCAAATTACCCTCAGTGAACCCTGCAGGCACAGGCTAGCCTTGGAATCTGCAGGGGATGACCCGGATGACCCCCTCCCATGTTCCCTCCACTCCAGGTGGCTGCCGGAATCGGCACGGTGGCTCATCATCACAGGCAAGCTGGATAGGGGCCTGCGGGAACTGCAGAGGGTAGCCATTATCAATGGAAAAAAGACTGTGCAGGACACACTGACGATGGAGGTGCAGTGGGCCGGGTCCTCCCTCAGGCCTACCTCTCAGATCCTCTTCCTCCCCCTGCATAGGGTCCTCCTGGAGGCCAGCCGAAGGCCCCGCCTCCCAGGACAAGTGTGTAGGGGAGGAGGACCTATTGGTGCCCAGTGCCAACAGCCCCTGTCTCCACAGGCCTTGCTGTCAGCCATGCGGGAGGAGCTGAGTGGGGACCAGGCTACCATCAAGCTGAGCACCCTGCTCTCCACACCTGTACTGCGTCTCCGGATCTGTGTCTCCATGCTTTGCTGGTAATCGCCTCTCAATCCCATGCCTTGGGTGCAGCCTTCTCCACCACTGACTGCCAGCTGCAGAGGACCTGAGTCAGGACTAGGTGCTCAGGGTAACATGGTGGGCCCTGCTGGGTCTCCTGTGGGCCACCAGCCAGAGATACGCCCGGGACAGGCCTGCAGCACTGTCACCTCTGAGTATATCAGGGTCCCGCAGGGACCAGTCAGGACAGATGAGCACCCTGGCAGGGGTGAGCATGAAGTAGAAAGCAGAAAGACACGAAGGCTGCAGAGCCGGACAGGACAAGAGGTGATCCAGGAGTCCAGGCCACTCAGCAAAGCCCCAAGCCCACAGAGGGGGGCCAGATGTGATGGCTTATGCCCATAACCCCAGTTACTGCAGAGGCAGAGAGCTGGAGGATGGCAGTTCAAGGCCAACCAGGGCAAAAAGTGCTATCCCATCTCAACCAATAAGATGAGCATACTGGTACCAGTCAGAAGCCACTATGGTCAGCAGGCTCAGGAAATGCAGTCTGAGAAAGACAAAAGAGCAGCCCTGCCCTGCTCTGCCCCACCCTCCCTGCTCCCAGGTTTGCCTTTGGCTTCTGCTTCTATGGTGTGGCCCTGGACCTGCAGTCCCTGGGCAGCAACATGTTCCTGCTCCAAGGGCTCATCGGGGCCATGGACTTCCTGAGCAAGATCTTCACCCTGCTCCTGATGAACTATCTGGGCCGCCGCTCCATTCAGGCCAGCTCCCTGGTGCTGGCTGGGCTCTGCGTCCTGGCCAACACTCAGGTGCCTCAAGGTGAGCTGTACTGCTATGGCACACTATGGAGCTGGGAACAGAGACCTTTGGGTCCCTCCTCAGAGGGCGCAGGACCACCAGCAGTAGCCTGTTAGGAAGGAGGGTGTTGGGATTGCCAGGATACTGAGGCTGTGCTGAAGCCCAGGGACAGCGATAGAATCGAGGCAGTGGGGAGAAACACTGTAGTGATAAAAAATATTTCAGCAGCAGTTGGGCACTAGTGGCGCCTATTTGTAATCCTAGTTACTCAGGAGGCTGAGATCTGAGGATTAAGATTCAAAGCCAGCCTGGGAAAGAAAGTCTGTGAGACTCTTCTCTCCAATTAACTATGAAAATAAGGCTGACCTGGAGTTGTGGCTCAAGTAGTAGAGCACCAGCTTTTCAAGCCCTAGGACTGACACAATAAATAAAATTACATATGTGTGTGTATGTATGTGCATAGATGTACAGTATATACGTATATACACACATAGATGTGTTTCAGCAAGGGGAATGAGGGTTCAGAGAAGATTCTGACTCTGGGAGTCTGGTGGGAAACAGATTGGGAGTACAGAGCTGAGATGTAGCTCAGCGGCAAAGCCCTTGCCTAGCAAGTGCAACGTCCTGGGTTCGACCCCAGTACTAGAAAAGAAAAGACAAAAAAATACAGTTAAAAACAAACAAAAACAGATTAGGGGTACAGTGTGATGTGGGAGACCATTCGCAGGCATTTGGAAAGATGGGCGTAGAGTTCGTGGTGACGTTCCGAGGATGAAGGGAGCCCCCTCAGACCCCCACCCCAGCCGTGACCACCCACTCTGCTAACCCCAACCCTGTCTCTTGTCCACAGAGATGGGGGCATTGCGCTCGGCTCTGGCTCTGCTGGGGCTGGGGTCTCTGGGGAGCACCTTCACCTGCATCAGCATCTTCAGTGGCGAGCTCTTCCCCACGGTGCTAAGGTAAGACTGTCCTGAGCCCAAGGAGAGGGGGACCCGTGAGCTAGGAGTGGGGGAGGGCAAAGGACCTCCCCTAAGACCCCAGTGGTCATGCCCTGGGTCTTCCTTCCATGTGGCCTGGTTGCTGCTTGGCTGCCCTGGCCCAGCCTCACCTGAGCTTCCTTGGACTGAAAGGGGGGCTGGGTCAGGGCAGAAGGTCCAGGCTGGTGGGGGGGGAGCGCTCACAGGGACATCTGCACGGACAGGATGAGAGCAGTGGGCCTCTGCCAGATGGAGGCCCGAATGGGGGCCTTCCTGGGGCCTCTGATCCGGATGCTGAGCACCCACAGCCCTTCCATTCCCCTGTTCATCTACGGGAGCGTGACAGTGCTGGGCGGTGTGGCCACCCTGCTGCTGCCCGAGACCAAGAACTTGCCGCTGCCTGACACCATGCAGGATGTGCAGAAACAGTGAGCGGCTAGTCCTGGAGGGCGGCCTCCCCCTCACCCCCGCCTTCTTGTCCCCTCCTCTCTCCCTATCTCCCTCCTTGGCCCAAACCGCCCTGCCATTCCTCAGGACCACCTTGAGAGAGGCCAAGTGGGAAAGAACGTTAGTCCTTTGCCCAGAGGGCATTTCTAGGGGGGGAGGGTTCACAGGCCCCAAACCCTACTCCAGAGCCCTCAGATGGCTGGCAGGGCCACCAGCAGGTTCTCTGGAGCCCTCAGGATGCTTTCAGGTCAAGGGTCATTCAACATCCCCACAACACACTCCTTTCCTCTTGTGTCTTTCCTGAGCAGGGCCGTGAAGAAGCTGGCGTGCCCCACGCCAGCGGCACCCTCCGTGCTCAAGTCCACGCAGTTCTAGCTTTCTGCAAGCCCACAAAGGATGAGAAGAGGGAAAGGAGGAGGAGGAGGAGGAGGAAGCTTCTTTTCTCCCCTGAAGATGGCAGAGGCTGTCTCTTTGGTAGTTCCTTCTAGCTCAGAAGGGACAAAGGACGGCGTGATTGGCAAGAGGCTGCAGGCAGCGCGTCGTCCCGACTTGCCCCTGTGACTGCAGAGAGGGGAAAGGCCAAGGCCAGGGTACATGCCCCCACTGCTGGGTGCCCCACTGGGCCACCTGGTGCAGGCTGGCTCTCACCTCCCTGGCTGGGCATGCGCTGTGGAGGCCTTTGGCCATGTGACCCCTCCCACCCCTCAGGAAACCCCAGCCACATGCTCAGCTGCATCGTCTGCCCACCACTGTCCCCCCTCCACCATGCCTCTTGGTCTCCCAGACCCAGGACAGGGGCCCTACCTCCCTGATGCAGAACCAGACTTCACCCTGGCCCACGGCGAAGGCCACACGCCTATCTTGTCCACAGCAGTAGAGGGCCAGGTGGCCCCATTGCTCCATGACCCAGCTCGTACAGAGCAGAGTGGGCCAGAGAGACATTGGTGTGAACAAAGAGCCAAGAATAAATGAATGATGTCCCCTATTGACTCCAGTGAGCAGCGATGGGCCAGGGGCTGGGCTGGGCTCCTTGGAGCACTGACCCCTTTCCTCTTTCATCCCAAACCCTGTCAGGTATGCACTGCCCATTTGACAGATGAGAAACTTCGGGCTCACAGCTAGGAGGAGGCTCTGTAGGTCTCCAGAGCTTAACTGGGCCTGCTCCTAACCTCCCGATCCGAGCATCTGACACACTCATCAGGGCCTCCTCATCCCTCTCAGAATCAGCCAAGAGCCTTTGGGGCTCCCTGGCACAGCTCACGGGAAGGGTGGTACAAGCGCCCCCCAGAGACGAGGCTCCAGACAGAAGCTGTGTGCCGCCCAGTGATCATTGACAGCCTGCCTGTCAGCCAGTTCTGGCATTCATCCATGTGGCCACTGCCAGGCACCTCAGTGGAGGCTGAAACACACACACACACACACACATGCACACACGCACGCACGCATGCATGCACACACGCCAGCTATGTGCACTCACTTGTACATAGACACAGAACACTTGGTGGGAGAACAGAAAGCAGCTCCCACCCCCCAGGAGAAGGGGTCCACTGGCCTGTTCTTGCAGCTTCTGGGCCTCTGGGGCCTTTAACCTTTGGCTCTCTGCCTATGACCTTGCTCAGATCACTGCTGTCTGAGCAGCCCCCTGCCCCAAGGCAAAAGGGCAGAGGTTTGCAAAGATGCTTGTGCCTGGGCCATGAGGCCTGCCCTGGCTCTGTCTTCTATTTGCTTCTGTCCAGCCAAAACCCAGCTGCCTTAGTAAAGCTCACTCATCATATGGGGGACTTTAGAGTATCTAGAAACTTCCAGAAAGCAGACCCCAGGGGAGATGGCTCCTCCTTTCCTGCTCACTGAGCAGGCAAGGACTGCCCCTCTACCCACATTTGGAGTGGCCTCCCTCCTGGCCTTGCCTGGTCCTGGCCTCCTAAGAGCCGGTCCTTCAGCTCCAACACAAGTCTCCCCTTTTCTTTTCTTTTTTCTTTATTTTTTTGGGTCGGGTTGTGGGGCCTGAACTCTGGGCCTGGGTGCTGTCCCTCAGCTCTTCAGCTCAAGGCTAGCACTCTACCACAGCGCCGCTTCCGGCTTTTTTCTTATGTGGTGCTGAGGAATTGAACCCAGGGCTTCGAGCATGCAAGGCAAGTGCTCTACCACTGAGCCACCTTCCCAGCCCAACTCGCCCCTTTTCTAACGCATTAATGCGACATGTTTAGTTCCTGCCACTCCCTACTCCTCTAGGGAGTGACATCAGGAGCCCAAAGGCCTCCCCTCAGAGATGCTGGGCACCTGGGTAGCAGCCTCCATGGGGAGGCTCCTATTCTTACTGCCATGACCTGAGAGGCTACAGAGCTCTTAACGGTAGAAAGACCAACTACACAGTGTGGGAAAGGGGAGCCATGGGCGCCCGGCAGTCCCGGGCTCTCAACCAGACAACTGCTGGCCCTGGATGACCAGTATAGGAGCAGCAGAAGGCGCTGTGACTCCACTCCCACCTCTGGAGGAGGGACTTCCTCTCAGGAGACCTTGGCACTGACTGGGCTGGCTTGCCCTCTGTGGCTGGGTAGGTCTTCAAGGAAAAGAGGCATCAGCCAGACTCCATGATGAACTTCTCAAACCCTTGGCATTGTTGCCCCTAAAATGGGATTTCCTGATCATCATCTCCAAGCACCATTCAAATAGCCCAGACCTAGAATTTCTGCCACTTCCACAGGCTATTTGGGCCAGTCCTGGGGTTGTGGCCAGGTGAGCCAGGTATCAACTGCACTGATGCAGGGGGCAATGACTGGGCTGTAGTCAAGCGCTGGTGGTTCACACCTGTAATCTTAGCTAGCTACTCAGGAGGCTGAGATCTGAGAAGCACAGAAGCCAATCAGGGCAGGAAAGTCCATGAGTTTTAAGAGCAAGAAACATCTCCAATTAACCAGCAAGAAGCTAGAAGTGGAGATTTAGCACAAGAGGTAGAGTGCCAGCCTTGAGTGGGGAAAAAAGCTGGGCACCAGTGGCTCACACCTGAAATCCTAGCTACTCAGGAGGCTGAGATCTTTGGATCAAGGTTCAAAGCCAGCTTGGGCTAGAAAGTCCCTGAGACTCTTATCTCCAATTAACCACCAGAAAACTGGAAGTAGCACTATGGCTCAAGTGGTAGAGTGCTCACCTTGAGCTGAAGAGCTGAGGGACAGAGCCCAGGCCTAGAGTTCAAGCCCCATGACCAACCCACCCCCCCCCAAAAAAAAAAGCCAAGCAAGAGTGTGAGGCCCTGAGTTCAGGCCCCCGTACCAACAAAGAAACAGACAGACTGAAATGACCATCTCTAAGGGAAAAGTAATCTAAGTCAATGGCCAAGTCTAGAAATTTTCTAGCAAAGCCCTTTAGGGGCAGGAAGTCTCAACCTTCTAATCACAAGCAACCAGCAGGGCCACAGCCAGACTTCCAACTCTCTGAGGTCATCCTAAAGCCTGCTGGAGCAAACATGTGCCCTCCTCCTGTCACCAAGAACTCCTGGCCGCCTGACTAGTGACCATGGGGGAGAAGCTGAGGTGAGTCTTGTCCCTGGGTGGAGGGCAGTGACAAGAGGATCCAGGCGTGAGGCTCACAGTATGAGACACCCTAGCAACACTGGCTCAGGACAGGGCCTCTAGACTCCCACCAGCTTTAGAGCTCAGGCTCCAAGACCGTGCAATTGGGGGACAAGCAGGGCTGGAAAGTGCATCCCGGCCTGGCTGGCTCAGGTGGGCAAAGAAAGCCAATGTCCCCAGCGCTCCACACGTGAGTCAGGCTAGGAAGGGTGACGTTGTGCCCAGAGCCTAGGAGGCCAGAGGCAAGAGGGGGAAGGGGAGAACCACAGGGTTGAGGGAAGGGCCTTTGTGACATATCGTGGTGTCCAGTGTCGTGACCACCCTCTCTACCTCTCCTGGGATCCTGACCCGCCCTCCGCATCCCCAGGCCCCCACACGTGAGTCCTCCTGGACATTTGAAGCCTACTGCCGAGAAGCACAGAGGACAGACTCGCCCTCAACCCTGCCAGGCCACCGGGAAGGAGCAGATTCCACCGATGGCCAGGCAGCTGGGCTCTGCCTCTCCCCTTCAGCATCAGGAGCTGCCAGAGGACTTGGGGGCCAAGATGTCCCCAGATTCAAGCTCCTGTTGGCCCAGAACTAGAGCAGAGAACGGGGGTGTGGGTGGGGCTGTGGGCATCGTGGGCTCAGCCACTGACACACCTGGAGGCCCTGGATCTCTGAACCCAGCAGGGGGCCGCCTCCCTCCCAGGGCTGGACAACATCTGTCCAGCATCAGACCAGTGCGCACAAGGCCCTTATCAGACACATCCTGAGTAGCTGAGGCATGACCTTGGTCAGAGACCACCTCCCTCACCAGCTGCAGCATGTCCTACCCACACCCCCCCCCAACTGCAGGACACAAGACACCAGGGGTACTAGAAGCCCAAAGCTTTGTTCAGCTCAGAAGTTTGAGGGGTACTTACCAGTTCTCATGGGCCTCTACTTTGGGCCCAGAACCCAGCCCAAAGCTAGGACCCACCCTGAACAAACTGCACAGGACTGTTGGAATTTGGAAAGTTTTTGTTTTCTTTTTCCCACACATTTCCAAGGTTGGGGGTGTTTTCCAAGACTTAGACACGTTTGTTAACAAAGAGAGAGAGAGAAAAAAAATGGGGGAGCAGGGAGCCTATGGGCCGAGAGGTGACCCCAACAGTCCACAGACACCGGCTCGCTCCCTCCTTTGCCCGTGCCCAACTTGGCGGCTGCCACAGGCGGTTGCTCGCGGTATCTAGATTATTTGTCTTTAATATATATCTGCATTTGCCTTCCCCCCCCACCGCCCCCCCACCCTGCTCCGCCAGCAGCTTCCCAATGCACGTTGCCCGGCAGCACACAGAACAGGCCTTCAGCCAGGCCCAGGCCCCCTCCCGAGGCAGCCCCAGAGGAAGTTGGGGGGCACTGAGGGGCAACCCCAGCGCTGCCTCTGCCCGCTGGCCACGTCGGGGCCACCCTCCCACCCTTGTTCCACCAACTCTGGAAACCCAAAGGGAAGAAAAGGAGAAACCAGATACATAAAAAAGAAGAAAACGAAAAAGAAGAGGAAGGGGAGGAGGAGGAAAAGGAAGGCAGAGCGAAGGAAGGAAGGAAGGAAGGAAGGAAGGAAGGAAGGAAGGAAGGAAGGAAGGAAGGAAGGAAGAAAGGAAGGAAGAAAGGAAGGAAGGAGAGGAAATTAAGAAAAAGAAGCGAGGAAGGGGGGTGTGGAGACACAGCAAGCCTGGGATGGGGGCTTGGGAGAAGGAAGGCGGAAGGAACAGAGGGGGGAAGAAATCTTGAGGGGGGACGCAGGGGGACACGTGGTGGACACTTTACAAAACCCCAGCCTTCCTTCCCGCCCAACAACCCCACCAAAATAAAACTAACCCCCCCTTAAAAAAATAAATCAACCAGGGCTGCCAGCGCGGGCCCTGCCTGGCGCGCGAAGC